CCTTAAATGACCATAGCTGTTATAGGACGTAAAACACAAACAAACCAATGCATATTGTCAACAGTACTCATTAACTTTCAATATTGATTCCAGTTATCACTCACTGTTTTGAAAAATTACAAAATATAATTATATATCAAAAATTTATAAATTAATAAAGCAATCTGGTCGATATCTTTTGTATCATTGCATTTATGTAATTTCCTCTTTACAGAATTATATGTAGGGTTTGCAAAACTGAAAAGGACAATTGGCGTTCAGATACGGAACCAGCTGAAAGTGAACCTGTCAAAACAAGACCAGATCAATGTGTCTCTAACACTGAACCAGACGATGGTGAAACAGTCAAAGAAGGACCTGATTCATATACTTCTAAGACTGAAGCCACTGCTGAACAAGACACGTCAATAATTCTGTCAGATATTTGGCTAACAAATATACTTCTACCAAAGATTGCAAATTGGAGTGAACAGAAACATTTGGAGACGACAGTTAAGTCTCTTCGTCTGGTGAGGATAGACCAGTACAACACTCTGTACAACCAACTCAAAGTCAAGTACGGCAAGACGTTTGTAGAGGCGAGTTGACTTTATCGTCTGTACTTTTTATCCTGGTGAACTGATTCAGACTTATGTTGTATCAGTTTGAAAACTTATTTTTGATTTAGTTAAAACAAGTTATGTGTCCTGTTGATTCATCTTGAAAGGAAAGGTAGAAAACAAAATATTTCACAAATCGTTTCAATACATTAACATATTTACTATGAAGACCAAGATTTGCATTCATACAAGAATGAACATGCCATTCAATTCTCATATTAACAGGCAAAATGGAAGTGACACATTAATTTTGAGAAAATGGAATATATATTTTGTAGATATCAGCCTATTGAAAAGCAGGGTAATGTCTGCTATTGCACACGTGCTTCGACATTCCTAACCATTAGTTTGTAAATAAGTAATTATATATGATATTCCTAGAATCTAGAGAGGTGATCAGTGTGCTTCTGTTCCACTCCACCACCAACCCTAACTGTTAGCTTGTATAACATTGTGTTGTAATTGATATTTGAATTTCTAATATTTTTCAGTGCTGGCCCGAGAAAACAGATCCTGCAAAATTTGTTTATGAAGATGTTGGCATAGCAACATACCTATTGGTGAGTAATGCTTTGTATAAAATCAATGTATGTACACAGAATGTCAGCATCGTTTACACACAGTTGTACCTCTTAATTAATAATGCATTGTTTACTATGTTAGCAAGAATGCTTTTTAAGTAATCATTGTTCCATAATGCAAGCAGAAATAAACTAAATAAGGCTGATCGTACATGGGTCATCGATACATACATACCAAACTTTGAGAATGAAATTTATTTGGCTAGACAATGACTAGGGGTCAAAGTTTAACTGAAATTTTAGTACGTCAAACAAAAGCATTTTCTTTCATATTTGATCTTGATCGACAGTAAGTTTGTAGCTAGTACATGACACATACATATGATATGTTAATTTAGAATTGTGATGAAAAGTATTACTGTGACAGGTCCTGTGCAATTTATGGAACACTTTTCATAAATGATAAAAACATCCACCAATACATGTCACCAATCTTATCATAAAACAGAAAGCAGGAATTAATTTCTGATAGTTTTTACCAAATTTATATAAGATTTTTAGTTTCCTATGTTATTTACAGTTTCTTTATTTCTCATAACAGTTAATCTGGGAACAAGAGAGGAAGGAGAAGAATTTAAAGGAGAAGCAATCGTTTGTAGACATGGGATGTGGAAATGGACTACTTGTTCACATCCTGTCTTCTGAAGGTGTAAGTATCCATCATAGCTAGGTATTAGGAACATGTACTTCGGTGATAACATCTAAATATATCTCATTACATTAAAACATTGTTTCATATTAAAATAATTGGCCAGTTTTCAAGTTTACTTGAGTTAAATGTGTTAAAAGCATCTTTTTATGGAGTCATTGATGGGCTCATAGCTGAAGATTTAAACTTCTTGTTCAAACGAGTGATTGCTGAAACAAATTTCCTGAAAATTTAGGTACTTTAAGTGACCATATCCATACAGACAATGTCTGTGACCATATCCATACAGACAATGTCTTATGATATTAGTGAAATCGTAAAACATAAAAACAACAATTTGGCTTGTAATTTGCTGGAATGAAGAGGTATGATACTTACTCGTAAGGTCAAGCTCTTCATGTCCTTATATTATTTCTTACAGATCAAGTAATGTGAGGTTGATACAGGCACCATGGGCCTCTTCTGTTGATCTCAAAGTGAAGAGACCATTGCTGATTTGATTGCCAACATAAATTGTGCCTTAAGGATTACAAAAATGTCTTTACTATTTGCATGTCAAACTTTTACAGCACCCAGGTGTTGGTTTAGATGTACGGAAGAGAAATATTTGGGACTTATATGGCCTGGAGACTCGCCTTAAGGTAACTACTACTAGTTCAGATATAGACATGAATATTATAGGTATTTAATTCACAATAAACTATAATGATAATCAAACCTTTCTCAGAAAAATGGACTAAAGAAACACTTCTTGTTAAAGAACAAATGCTGGAAGCTGTGTTTTTTCTTAATACATTTTCAATAGCAACAGTAGATTTATTCTTTTCATTGGAATTAACAAATACCAGGGCGTAAATCAGTGACGTTGTTGCATGTTGAGCTACTAAATCCTATTATTGTTGTAATTAGTGTCTTTATAATTTTTAATCCTCCCCATTACCTTCAGTAGCAGACATTAGATTCAATGATATACTGTATACTGGGAATTTTTCACCCAGTCAAACTTTTGTGCTGCACAGGTAAAATCCATATTTGCCCAGTTTTAGTTTCTCCCTTCACATTTAATTACTTTGTATACTATGTTGCTTTCATATGAATGTTTGCTGTAATGGTTGATTTGCCCTCATTACGGAGGCGAAAAAGACGAAAAATAAACTGAAGCTTAAAAACATTTCGATATGCAGTGAGTATACAAACAAGAAAAATGTCTGGCTTCAATTGACTTTTGTGGGAACCTGCCCACCAATCACACCTAACACTAGACATGCCCCCTCCCCTCATTAGTGGTTGCACTGCTACTGTCCATTTCCACATTGATTGCCAAATCTATTCTTAAGGAGCTTTTTCTTCATTTTGATTTGTGTAACATTTTTGCTGAACACTGATCTAATAGAACTGGACAGGAGTTGTTTTCTATTGTATGTGTACGGACACATCATGAGGTGACGTACCTGTCAGTCACTCAGAACTAGCCATGCCCCTAACCTTAATGTTCTACATGTGCCACCATGTTTTGTGGGTAATTTACCTGTCCGGCACACTGACCATGTTATGAAGTAACCTCCTACCGTTCCATTTTGCAGGAAGAGACAATCATTCCGTCCTGTGACTCCTTGTTCCCGCAGTATGATTGGCTGATTGGTAACCATAGTGATGAACTAACGCCCTGGATACCAGTCATGGCAGCAAGGTAGGTGCTACACTGCTCTGAACGATGCCCCCAAGTACACAAACCTAGGGTATTGCCAGGTATGTTTTTGTCATGTCTGTCCACCCTACTATATTTAACAGTCCTTCTCATCACTCTAGAAGCCATCATTCTTCACAAATTTTGTTGAAACGTCCCAGTTATGTAAACCGTTTATATATCTTCATTCACAGTAAGTGTTAAAATTGGCACAATATTTTAAAGGTCAAGGTTTTTGTTGCTAAATATTTAATTTCACATGTTTTTCCTCTAGTAGATATATTTCTGGACAGCTTTTAAGGATGACTGGATTTGACAAATCTTGGACAACTTTGTATATATGTGTTATGGTAAAAGGTTAAGACCAATGTTACTAAAAAACACACCCTAGAACTGTGTTGCGACAATTGCACTCATACCTATGAGTTCTGTCGCAGTTATCGGAAGAAGACTCAGCAGGTGCAGGTATATGTGCTTGGTCTGTCAAAAGTTAATATTAGTGTTACTAAAAAAGGAATACACTCTTTGTCATTACTCTAGCTACATGTACTGTATTTCTCGACAGATTTTGATAGAACTTTACAATGGTCAAAGGTCAAGGTAGATGTAACTGTAACATTGTCCTAAAATAGAATTTCATCCTGAATCAAACAGCAGAGGGGATATTGTATGCCTAGCTCATTTTCTGTTGTTTTCTCATGGTTAATATTCAGCGAATACTTACGATTTTTTTCCCTAAATTGTTGTTCATGTGTCTGCTCTTGTTTCATTTCATAGGTCATCATACACCTGTCGTTACTTTGTGTTGCCTTGCTGCCCATTTGACTTTGACTGCAAGTTCAACAAGAAAGTGAGTGGACAGAGCAGTTACCGCTGTTTCCTTGACTGGGTGATAGAGGTGGGACAGGTCTGTGGCTTCCAGGTGGAGGAGGACACCCTCAGGATCCCCTCCGTCAAACGGGTGAG